AAAAAAAAGTCCAGCAGCCAGTGGAGGAGAGTGTAGCATCACTACCAGCTCCATCAGAAAATCAACACATTGCATTTTGACTCAAAGTAACGTATTTGTGCTCAGTATCTGCCCTTTGGCAAGCGCAGGGCAGGTCTGTCTCATCAGGACTGCTGTCATCCTCCTCTTGCAGGGACAACAGGCTGGCAGGCACTTCCGTGGCAGGACTGAAGTAGCAGGTGAGCCCCCTCGTCACCTGGAGTGTCCCACTACAGACTACCACTGCGTGGTGGCTCGTTCATTTGGCTGTCATTAGCCTTCCAAGAACAGAGGAATGTTCTTGCCGAAAAGCGTGCGAGCATAATAAATGTCAGCGCTGCCATTTGTCTTCTTTGATCGGAAAAGTAAATTTACGCTTGTGAAACAAATGAGGCTCCACATGCTGCTCCTACTCCGCCTCTGCCTTTACAGTGCTGTTGAAAATATTCTCATCTAAGGTGTTTCCTATGTACGGGGCATAATTAGGAGTTGTGTTCATTTATGACCAAGATCTTTGATCCTGACAGAATTCAGTCTTTATTTGAACAGTTTTAATTGTTTTGCTCATTCTTCTCTTTGCAGCCCTTTGAGTCCTACCTCCTCTGGGAGCCAACGTGCTGACTAAACACGTTTAGTATTACCTTACAGGTTCCCTTACGGCTGGAAGACCCCACAGTTGAGCTTGGGTCTCCGATAAACCCGCTGCAGGGTGAGATTCAACGTGGCCTCGGGCTGTCTGTGCGTCAGTGGAGGTGCCCAGCCCAGCGCGGTCTCTCACCAAAGCAGGGTGGTTTATTTGGAAAGTTGTGGAGTGCCAGGGCATTGCCAGATCCAGAGGTTGGACCACCTGATTCTGTTCATTCATCAGATTCTGCACTGTGCAAGCAACTTAACAAAACAGCACGGGATGAGCTTGGTTCATTTTTTCACCCATAGTGGCTAAGTTTTTGTTGGCCATGGCTGAGCCATACTCCCTTCTCGTAGTGTTATTACTAGAGTCCAGCTAGGAGTCTTCAATTTGCTTTTGCAGCACTAAGTTAGGAGGATCCCGCTCTAGAGCGAGGCTTGGCACGAGTACAGATGAGCCAAAGAGCATCAGCTTTTTTCCAGGAGCAGGATTGCAGCTGGAACTCAGCATCTCCGTGAACTTGGCAGTGCAGCAGAAGGGAACAATATGCCAAAAGGCTCATGCAGATTGTGGCCGAGGTGCTTGAGGGTCAGGCTGGAGCTAGGAAACCTCAGGGCATCTTCTGTAACAGGCAGCACCTTCCTGGATTATTGCTTTGTGATTTTTACCCACGTGCTGCCTTGCTGCCTCCTGCCTGTTGTGCCCTAATGCCATCGCATCTTGGGATGCAGTGAGGTGGAGAAGCCTCCAGCTTCACTGTGCTTCTGCCCGGTCCTGTCACGTGGAATTGTTTCCAAATCTCACTCCTGGTAGTTCTGTGTTTGGGGTTTTTTTAAGTATTAGTCAGGCTTCAGGCTCCAAAGTGGTCAAACAGAGGAGCAACCTGTGCCTGTCGCTGAGCAACTGCTGTGGGCAGCTGCCCTATTCATTGCAAGGGCTCACGAATGGCAGAATCTAGAGCTGCAGAGTTGGTGAGATTAGTAAGGTACTAACCTGCAGGACAATGTCCTTATCTCGTACTGAGCTGGAAGTCCAGCTCTCCATCTGCCTCAGTCTCTGGTTCTCCCTGGATAACTTCAGCACAAAGTTCTTGAACTCACTGGCCATCTACAGTGAACAAAGAAATTGGCAATCTGTGCTACAATAAACCGCGCTCGGGATATTTATGGACTTCAGCATAAACTCTGAAGTATTCCTGTATATAAAACCTGTGGTTTAGGAATATCCCTCCCATCTCTTCACCAGTTAAAATCTTGCTGGTAATTATTTACGTGTGATGAGGGAAGGCACTTGAAAGAGACTGGCCTGATTGTAGTGCTGCTCAGCACAGCTCTGCAAGGGACGCAGAGTCCTAGAGAAATCTGGAGACAGCAGGAGCGTCGCAGAGTGGGTCTGGGCTGCGGCTGCTCGGGGGACATGAGAGAGCAGAGGTGCAAGGCCAGGGAGCAGAGAATCTGGTGTAGCAAGGATGGCAACCAGACAAAGACAGGCTTCTTCCCGGCTCCAGATACCCCTTGGACCTTTACAGAGGAGCTCCAACGCTTCAGCAGCCTGAGACCAATTAAACGTAATTTGTTTTGTGTTTAAGCTGGCACTGCCGTCACCCCTGCTAGAAAGCTAGAGTATGGCATGGTGACCAGCCAGTACAGTGCAAGAATCTCTTTTGTAGGGCAGCTTTATTTAACTTCTGAATAAATAAGGTCAGAAATTTAGGCCAATTAGCATGAGCAAAGCTCAGCAGGTTCACATCTCCCTTATGCAACCAGATCTCTAATTACTATGTGCACATTTTAAACACTGTGTACAGTCCTTTGAAATAGGATTTTTCTCTAACTAGTATCTTGTATGCTGTTTCTTGGATTTTTTAGCATTTAAGAGCTGTGTGTTTTCTGTCTTAATTTGTAATTCTCTCCCCATTTCATCTCCAGTAAAATATTTAAGTAAATTTTCCCCTGTATTTACAGTTGCAGTTGGAATTAAGGGTGGTAAGTTCAGCAAGGTGCCAGGGTTAGGAAACTGTGACGAGCTCTGTAATTATATAGATGCAGCACCAAACTTCAGACACGTGTTTCATAGGTACGTGGTGTATTACATTTGTAGATCTGCTTTGCACAGGGCACGTGTTTGATTCTTTGACAGCTGACACGCACACCTCTTAATCTGAAGCAGGAGTTGCTCTTTTGGAGATACTGCTCATCCCAATGCCTTCATTCGTTTCGCTTGTTTCTGATGTGTCAATTCATGTTGTTTACGCAGGGACTTCGCTTACGTGGCGAGAGACAAAGACACGAGAATTCTGAAATGTCATGTGTTTCGATGTGACACGCCCGCGAAAGCCATCGCCACAAGCTTACACGAAATCTGCTCAAAGGCAAGTGGGTCTGAAGTCAGCTGCCCTCGGCCGTTCAGAGGTCCCTGCGCCTCAGCACGCAGCGTTGGTTTAGTTTGTGTCACTGGCAACGAGAAATGCTGCGGAGGATTCATACAGGAAAGGACACAAACGGATGGGAGTAACAGGAGGGGTCGGTTAGATTTCAGGATGGTCGGTGCTTTTGGTTTGACAAGCATGCACAGAGCCTGAAGGTTTTCTTGAATAATAGAAGGGAAAAAGAACACACGGCTTCGATGAAATTACAAATGGTGATGTGAAACTCCGTCAGTAAATCAGACCTTGTTTGAATGGTATTATTCAATGGAATTATCCTGCAGGACAGGCAGGAAAAGAGTTGCTAATGTTACTCTGCCCGCTTAAAAAAAAATCAGGGAGAAGAGGGCGTTTAAGCTACTCTAGTTACAAATACTAAAGGATCTTAATTCCTGCTTGCATAGTGCTGTCTGTAATACTGGAGAGGACTGTCCTTTTCAGTCCTTTTGCCTTACAGATTTGCCACCATTCCCTGGTTATTAACTTTGGGTTCCTTGTATGATCAGTTGATGAGCGTCCCCTGTACGGTTATTTCATGCAGCGGTAGCGAGGCAGCACATCCTTTGCAGCAGGCAGATCTCATTGAAACGCTTTATAGAGAGGCACTTTAACCAATCTGCTGGAAACTATGTTGTTCTTTTACTGAGCTGTGGTGGATATGAGGCTGCATCCCCCTTTTCAAAAATACTATGCTGCTCCTTTTGGTTTTCCTTAAAACATGTCAGCTTACGCCACGGGAAAAGTGGACTGTGGGGATGAACCTTATCGGTTACCCCTGTGTAACTTGTCCCTCCTCGTGAGTCACAGCTCTCTGAGAAAAGCTGGGTAGGAAACTGCCAGTTTTTAAAATTACGCTTGGTGAAGTGTGGCAGCGGGGACTGCAGCAGTGGCTGACCAGAGAGGCCTGGTAGAGAGGCCTAGGCCTAGAGGCCTAGCTAGTACCTAGCTGGTACGTCCCTCAGCTTTCTCCAACTCTCAGTTCTCACAGAAGTTTCCAGCAAGTCTAGCAGGTGAAAACACGCTACATGGGCCCTACCACACCTGCTTTTACCCAGTCAACACCAAGTAAATGCCACAGTAGCTACAGGCAGGGCTATCAGAGAGGCCTTAGAGCTGTCACATACCTAATTAGGACACACAACTCCTGGCATCAGTTTCAGTTAAGAGAGCAACTAAGCATTTAAACCATAGCTAATAGTAACACAGTAAGACAGGATAGTGTTGTTAAGCAGAGCATGATCCTTTCTAGTTCAGCGATAGATGTAATCCTCGTTCAGGGAAGCACTTGGCACGTGCTGACACCCTGGACCTCTTCGCTGAGTCAGGGCTTCTTCCTAAGGTAACGTGTGTCACCTTTCATCTGCAGGGGGGAATATTAACGTGTGTCCCTGCAACAGAAAATACTTTCAAAATAAAAAACCTAAGAAAAAAATTGAGAAGTGTGCTGGAAGCATCTTCAGACCAAGTGTCACCTGCTGGAACACCAGTTACCTTTATAGCTTGACTGCAGTTAACATCACAACGTAAAGACCAGACAGCAATGCTTCATATGTGAGCTTTGGAAAAATCTCGAGTAGCGTCCCTGAGCCCCTTCTCAGTGATGGATTTGTAGGGAATAATCATCCAAAGTGGTTATTTTGAAGTGTTGGTTTTTTTTTTTTTCCTTCTTTTACTAATATTATACATTTTGGGGGAAGAACAGGTTGTATTTTGCATGGGACTTTTAATTCCAGAAGAAATATGAAAGTGGAGGACAAAAATTATACACAGCAGAAGATAGATCAGAGAAGAACATGAATAATGAGCACTCTTCTCTCTGTGTTACATATTTATATTTCTTGCTGTGTTGCTCCCCACTGCAATTTTGCTATTGATAAAAATGGCTAGAGGTTGTTTCTCCACCTCCATCTATCTTTTATCTAGGCTTGGACACCACTTACGTTCTTTAAGGAATGGTGAATAAACTGGAGGAGAATTAAAATTCTTACTTAAAAAGAATAACCTCATCAGTCCTGGAACTTCTGACTTATTTCAGATTTCAGAAAGGGGGGTTGTAACAGGAGTATATTTATACTTGTAGTTGCTACTGCGCTGTATTTTCAAAAAAAAAAAAAAAAGCAAAAGCTGTATTTTCACTATCTTCTTCAGATTATGGCCGAAAGGAAGAATGCTAAAGCTATGGCATGCAGCTCATTGCAAGACAGGGCAAATGTCACCCTCGACGTTCCTCTGCAAGGTACTGTGTGGTGCAGCCCTTGGGATGCTCCTTTTTCAGATGTGTTTCATTTCTGATGCTGCTTTTGACCAAAACGGAGCATGGTGGGGCGAGAGGTCAGGGGTGTAATCCTGTCTCCTAATTCCTGTCTCTGGCTGTAACTTGCTACTGTATTAGGTTACACATCTTCATTGATTGCGTTGACAGCTGCTCAGTTACGTCAACTTGTGCATTTCCTCTTTTGTCTCGAAATACAGGTCTTGCAAACGCAGCCTGACTTACTTGTGGCTACTTGCACGTATTGTCTTGTTCACATCAAAATACCCCGTGACTTGGGACAGCGCAAATTGGCCAAATCTTCCTTAAAACCACAACATGTTCTAGTTAATCCCTTGACTGTAAGAGGACTCCTCCTACGTTTCAGCATTGATTCTTAGCCACTTCCAAGGCAAGAGGTGCAAGTCACCCAGCTCAGGGGTCGTTTGCACACTCTAAAGAAAAAAGTAAAAGAAAGTTGCCTTTGCATGTCTTCATTGGTTGTAGCTGAACAGTTGCTATCATGAAAGTACTGCAGGAGAACAAACAAACCCTATGTTAGCTTCACAGGAAATTCCACGCTTCTAGATCCACCAGTGTGCACTGAGTATCTTACTCCTGATCCGTACATCAACTTGAGTAATTGTCTGTTCGGACAGGAGTATCGACTGCCTGTAGACTGTGTTCAGCATACTAACAGGGTTGGTATTGAAAACAGATTGCAGATTTTACGTGCTTACGCAGTGAAACTGAGGTCTGTGTGTCTGAGAGACGCAGCCATCGTCGTTTTCTGGGTGTTAATGTGATAGCAATATTACGTGACCTTATTCTTAGCTTGGATCAAGAATTAGGTGATGCAGTTATTCCTCATTCCTTTAGAAATTATTGCGCGTTGTTCTTGTCAGAGGGAGTGCAAGTTTGGTTTACTCAATACAATGCCTTCAGCGTACAGGGACTGGGTAAACTGGTTTCTGTTATTGATCAAATAAAAGTGCTTTTCCCTGTGGCGAATGCTGATAAACAGAACTTGATTTTTGTTCCCCATGCAGTAGATTTCCCAACACCAAAGACTGAACTGGTACAGAAGTTCCACGTCCAGTACCTGGGCATGCTGCCTGTCGCTAGACCCGTGGGTATGTAGAATCACAGAATCATGGAATGGTTTCGGTTGGAAGGGACCTTAAAGACCATCTAGTTCCAACCCCCCTGCCATGGGCAGGGATACCTTCCACTAGACCAGGTTGCTCAAAGCCTGGTCCAGCCTGGCCTTGAACACTTCCAGGGATGGGGCATCCACAGCTGCTCTGGGCAACCTGTTTTAGTAACACTCAAATGTATCACTCAAGTGACTTCCCAAGTACCCTGTGTAAACTCTGGGGGCTGGACTCTGCCAGCCAGGTCTCAGTGCACGATTTTCAGAGGGCAAGGCATGAAGACACCTAGTCTTCAGGGCTTCATCAACACATGTTTTGCAACCAGAGTATTTTGAGAGCTGCCAAGAAGGCAGTTTCTTTCTGCTGCTGTCTCTGAACATAAGCTCTGCTACTAATGCGATGGGCCCTGAACAACTGAAATGGGGCAGCAGCTAAACAAGCTGCGATCCTGTTTTCTCTAAGCCCGAGGCATCTCTTTCCAAAACACAACCCTTCCTTCCATCATCAAATTCATTTTAATGAGGAGCCCAAAACAACCTATTTTCCTGTGTGAAAATACAATATTTTGTTATTGTTTACTTATGTCTTTATTTTTCATTATCGCATTTTCTTCTGTTTTAGGAATGGATACTCTGAATAGTGCCATCGAAAGTCTGATGGCTTCCTCTGGCAAAGAAGACTGGATGCCAGTTACCATGAATGTTGCTGATGCTACTGTCACAGTCATCAATGAAAGAGTAAGGCAGGCTGTCTTGTTTAGAGCATCTCCAACATAATATTGACTGTTGAAAACCAGGAACACGGAAACACTAGTAGAAAGAGTTTGTTTGTACTACAATTCATTTGCTTATCTTGCACTTTATTTCTTCCCAGGGCGGTGAATCTGCAGAGCCTCTTACTGCTTGTGTCACCTTCAGCTATATTTACCATTCCAAGCATGTTCTCTAAACCATAAATTATTATAAGCATTTGCTAGACACCTAAAACAAATTTAGTGTTATCTTTTCTAGGAATTTTGAGCCTAAAATGTTGCAGGTTAACAGTAGCAATCCTAAATTCTAAACCGTAGTTTTCACATCGAAGCCAGGAGTAATACTGAAATCTGTGTTTCACATCACTGCCCTTTTGTAGAGCATTGGCTATAGAGATTAATACAGTGCAGCTTTCAAAGAATGTCTTTTATTTGTGTCTGTTGATGAGACCTTACACCGGTGTTTCTGACACACCAGTATCCTTTGGAGTCACAACAGCCACACCTTTCTTCACCCAGGCAGCGGGACTGGAAATGCCCAGCGTGCTCAGTGCTCACGCTCAAGGCCTTGGTCTTCCCGTGCTCGCTTAGACGGGGAGATCCGGCCTGGGCCTGAGCACGCTGGGTCCGTGCAGGTAGATGAAAAGGAATTCCACGATCCTGCATCAGTCTCTCCCCCTTTTAATGAATGTGGACATGTAGGGGAAGTTCCGCAGACTGTCTGATAGCAATGATCCATCGTTTGATTCCTACCCAGAATGAAGAGGAAGTCCTGGTGGAGTGTCGCGTGCGGTTCCTGTCCTTCATGGGAGTAGGCAAGGACATCCACACGTTCGCCTTCATTATGGACACAGGAAACCAGCATTTTGAGTGCCACGTTTTCTGGTGTGAACCAAATGCGGGCAACGTATCGGAAGCTGTTCAGGCTGCTTGTATGGTAAGTAAGCTTCTTCAGAGGCACCTCACAGCACTTCATGTTTCACTGCCTCCAGAGGTAACTGTCTTCCCAGCTTTGCAGTTATATTGATTTCAAGACAGAAAAAGAACAGATAAAAATAGTAAATTGAGATTCTGATACACTTAACCAGTTAAAACCCAAACATTTTGAAATGTCAGTTTAGTGAAGAACGTCCCTTCCATCATCTTTCTTTCACCAGTTATCTAGCGCTGGAAAAGCGTTTTGCTCGGAGTTGTGTGGTACAACCCAGTGGCAGCGTAGTGAAAATAACCCCTGTTCAAGAACAGCTGAACCCAGAAAACTTACCCTTCAGTTTTCAAGGGGCTGTTTGTATCATGTAGTGTCTGCCCTGTGCTAAGGAACAGTTCCTGCCCACAGATGGACAAGCGCGTGTCCCATGAACTCCAGTTGGGCCGTTCGTCTCGGCCACGATGGAGGTTTGACTGTATTGGATGAGAACGTTCTAGGAGTGTATTGGAAGTGCTCTGTGAAAGTCCTGGATGCAGTAAGGAATGCAGCATGCCTTTGCTTTGTTGCAGTTACGGTATCAGAAGTGCTTAGTAGCCAGACCTCCTTCACAGAAAGTCCGACCGCCCCCGCCTCCTGCAGACTCGGTGACTAGAAGAGTTACGACTAACGTAAAAAGAGGAGTGTTGTCCCTCATTGACACTTTGAAACAGAAACGCCCCGTCACCGAGATGCCGTAGCTGCGGAAGAGAGAAGATGCTCCCGGCGTTTGACTGAAGATCGCCGTAGCTACGCTGAGGAGAACGAACTGACGATGTCTTGGCCTTCCATTTCAAATCGCTGATGCTTTGTCTTCAGAGAATTTACCCTTACCAAAACAATGTTAGACAAGCATGTTCTCTCGTTCTTGCCACCATCGTGTGATATGAAAAGAAGCATGAATAATTTTTTCGCTGTCAGTGAGTTACATCATGAGCAACGGAAGGTCTGTTTGGTTGTAAATACATGAACGTTACCTAAACTCACATAGAATCTGGCCACGTCCCTCCCAGTGAACTCATGCTAAAGTCCTTGGAGTGAGTGATGCCCCCGTTGATAGTGTCACCGTGTCCAGCTGGATTTGTCACAAACCAACCTGAAATCCTACAGCACTTCGCTCTGTTTCCAACACGGGAGTAGGTACCAAGCATTAGCTGCCGTTGGGTTACTGCAGATTCAGTACCAAGTTCCATTTTTTACAGAACTACACCTGTTAGTTTTAAATTATCTGTCAGCATTGGTCTAGCAACCGCTTCAACATCTCCCTGATGTGCCTCGAACCGTCCTGTCGTCATTGCATCTCCCGCTTCCGCGCTGGGGTCTGAGAGAAGAAGGGGGTTGGATACTGAACCGGTGCTGAAAAAGCCTGGAGCCTCTTCAGCACCGGAGTCGCAGGGAGATCCGCTGAAGCGCTTCAGCGTTCAGCATGCAAACGCAGCTGCTGGCTGTTACATTTATTCTCCTAAATCTGTCGTTAGGCCATCAAAAATACCGTTTGTTTCACACAGGGCTCCAACCAGTCAGGAGAAAGAAAAAACTGGTCAGTACTCTGTCTTACAACTCTCATAGGGACTAACACATCCCATACAGGTGTTTGATGAAATGTTCGGTTCAGCGTCCAGTTGCACTAATTCCCCCTTTCCCTCCGTGTCTGTTGCGGGATATTTAACGTGCCACAAAAAGAACAACCCGTGTCCTTTGTTGATTTTACTGTGCCAGAGACAGGCTGTTTCCTTTTTTGTTCCTTGTTTAAAGTCACCAAAAGCAACACCGGGGGAGAGCAGCTTAGGGCACAGCTTAGGGGAAAAGAGCGGTGATTCGAGACATTTCTGCTCTGGAAAATGGTTCGAGTCCGCGTGATGTACAAGCGAGGGTGACAGCGCCAGCGCCTGTACAGCTGGAGGAGAAGTGGCTTCTGGCAGGTAGGCAGGGAGGGCCGGAGGGGACGCGGACAAACGCACCCCCCTCCCGGCGGGGCCAGGGCCTCGGGCTGACCACGGAGCCAGGTCTCTGTGCGGAGGGGGCAGCTTGCAGACGTGCTCGTTTGGTCGCTGGCGCCGATGCCAGGGACTCCTGCCCGGAGCAGGTCGGAAGGTGCTCGCTGCCTGTCGTGACTGCTGCCGAAACGCGGTGGGTACCAGCGTGCCGTCAAGAGAGGGAAGTTTCCTCCTTCGCCGTCGTGCTGGCGAGTCAAACTTTAATTTAGGTTACAGAAAACACTTTGACAGTGTCTTCTTACAGTTCCAGTTTTGGGATTCGCGTCTGTTCTGCAGCGGTGAATCCTCGGCAGCACAGTGAAACTCCGCAGTCGCAGGTGCAGCTTCGCCTGGGAGCCAGCGGGCTCCTCGGACTGAACCGACGCGCGGCAGTTCTCCTGCGCGGGTGGCGTCCAGACCGCGAGCGTCCGGTTCGCTGGCACGAGCAGAGCGTGCAGTCGTGGGAGGGCCGAGGAGGAGAGGGAAAGGTGTTGGAAAAGCCACCGGGCGCTTGCCAACGTACGTTTTTAAAGAGTTTTGTGCCCATTAACACAAGGTTGTTGATTTTGTGACTATTTAAGTAGCTTGATTAATGGTCTCGCTATATGTGGCCTTTTTGCTTCAGTAGAGCTCCTTCTCCTCCACGATTAAACACACCCCCCGGCGCGTGCAGCGCCGGAGCCTAACGCTGCGAAGCCTTTTGTTAGACAGGATCTTCAGACCCGTGTTACCGCCGCCAAAGCGAGTGCGCGCGGGTGAGCAGCTGCCCCTGGTTTCGTTGACGTTACGGCCCACCCTTCCGTTATCTATGCATTTTTTACAATA